GGGCTTGAGCAGCGGTCGCCAACCTTTCGGGCCTCACGGACCACCAGTGGTCTGCGGACCACCGGTTGGCGACCGCTGGGCTAGAGGGAAGGAGCCATCTTGCTAGATGCCTGCTGGCAGAGACGGTCCTGCATCTCTTGGGTCTTCAGCAGAGAAAGTTGAAAGCTGAGGGTGAAGCTCTGGTGACAGTTGTGGATTTTGAGCCACCAGCTTGGTTTAGGTTGCATCACCTGACATATGCTGAGAGCCTCTCTCTGCTGGACACACGGCTGGGTTTGGGCACACAGTCCCTGCCCTCAGAGCTCAGCAGCCCCGGAGGCTCAAAAACCAGTCCCTGGCTAATTGCTTGTACACTTTTGTTCTGACTGTCACTGTGGGGATCAGTCACAGAGCTGTACCTAAGGATGCTGTGGAGGCGATTTCAAGGCCCATGTAGATGATATTTACGTGTCCTTTCTCATTTTTAGGTTCTCTTCAGAGTGGGTCAACAGTGTGAGAAGATGTCACTGGTTTTGGTTTCCATTATACCATTTCATTACAGCTTAACAACGTGTGATACAGAAACGATGTGCTAAGGAGAGGGCTCGTTGTGAATGTTACCTCCATCATGAGGTATCATGCTCACTACAATACTTCTTTTCTGGTCTCAGCTGTCTTTTTCTGTCCTCACTCCAGTTTGTGCAGTTTTTGGTTACTCCTGGATTGGTAGCTCCAGGTCTCGTTTCTCTGCAGTTCCAGCCCCACATTTCCCACTGCTTATTGGACAGCTCTTCTCAGATGCCCAGTGGGTACCTAACTCAGCCTGACTGAGGCTGAACTAACTTGCCTCCTAGAATAGGTAGCTTCCCTCAATCTCCAAAACTTGTTGGGTCCTTCTCTAAACCCATCTTCAGGTTGGCGACGGCCAGATTTGGTTTGAGTTTTCTAATCCAGCATTCTAGGCCCTCCACACTCCAGCTGTGGCGCTTCTCTTTGCCATGCCACCCCTGTGCCTGGGCCCTAGCCACTACCCCAGACATTTTCACTCTTCTCTGCTCTTGCCACTCCTTCTGTCTTGAACGTTCTTCTATTTAAATACAAAATCCTGTTCAAATATTACTTCCACCATTAAGTTTTATTTTTGTACATTTTGATTTTTAAAAATCTTTTTGATCAAACATAATCAGTGTTAATTATTGTTCCTCATAGTTCTTTATTTCTGTCTCTATAATTGCTTGATAAAATAATTATTAATTTACAGCCTATCTTTCTCTAGATTCTTTGGTTTAAAAAATTATATATTCTTAGGTAACATGTCTTAGAAAAAAAATTTAGAAAGAATATAGCTATATGATTTTTTAAAAGTATAAAATAAAGTGTTCCCTTCCCTCTCTCCAGTCCTTAATTCTCATCCCCCAAAGCCACCAGCATTAATAGTTTCATGCATTTATTTCCAGAATGGCTATAGTAGCATATATTTCATGCAGTTGCTTCCAGAATGGCTACAGTAGCATATATTTTTCTTTTAAAAAAGTCCATTTATCGTTATTATAAAGGGGATCACATCTATACATACATCTTGTTCTATATCTTGCTTGTTTTGGCTAAATATTACAGCTTTTGTCAAAGCATACAGATCTACCTATTATTTTAATGGCTGCGGGTGTTTCATTGTTGATTGGTTTTTTGAATCAGCCTCTTGAGGTTGATCCCCTCTTAGTATTATTATTATTATTATTTTACTATAACAAATACAAGTGCTCAGTACAATATCCTAACAAACTTTTGTAAGTACTGTATATTTTAGGCTCAGTTCCCAGCAGTTAATTGTGAACCAAATGTCTTCTACGTTTTGATCCCTCTGACCAGATTATCCCTAAGGATTACGCTTGTCAGCCCTTTTAAAATGTGCCCAGATCTGATGCATTACAAATGGCCTCTCATTTTTTCTTTTTGTAATTCACATGCATTTAGTCATGAATAAAGCTAAACATCTTTTCATATGTGCTTTGGTCATATGTGTGTTTTTTTAACTGTTAATACCCTTTGCCTCTTCTATAGGATTTTTCTGTGTCACCTCCATCTGTTTGATTTATAATATAAATTAAGGAATTTGCAAAGTAGCCCTTTGTCAATTGTGCATGTATTTTTCCTCACTGTGTCATTTATTCTTTAAGGAGATTTTTTTTTTTTTTGTCATCAACTTCCATGTTGTCAAATGTATTTGTCTTTGCCTTTGTGGCTGCTGGGATTTGTCGTGTTTGGAAAGGCCTTTATATCCTTATTATAAAAAATTCATTCGTGCTTGCTTTTAGCTATTTTTTGGTGATAATCAAGTCTTTTTAAAATACTGTCATAAGAATAAAATGGCATTATCGGGGTGTGGTGCTACGTTCTGCAGCATTTGGGTGGGATCTTGCAAAGATTTCAAGTGCCTTTGCTTTACTAAGCCCTGTTGTCATATGGTCTTGCATCAGATCTAGTTTTATTTTCAGAGCCTGTGTGCATGGTTATTTCTAGGCCCCTCTCCTTCACTTTTTGCTTCAGGACTGTGGGAGGGCTGACCCAGCCTGGCTGGCATGGTGCTTTCTGGGACAGTACCACTCTCCGGTGGCTGTCGGCCATCGTCCTCACTGTGTAAATGGCCTCCCTCCTCTGGTACCCAGTCTGCTTTTGCTCCCCGACGTGTGTCCATTTTCTTCCCGAACCAGCTGGCTCTGCACTCCTTGTGGTTCTGTCTTGGCCCTGGCCTGCGCTGGCCTTGCTGCTGTTCTCGGTGCCTGGTCAGCCCTGGAGAGCCCCTCACGTCTGCTCTTGCTCTTTGAACACCAGTCTCAGTGCTGCTTTGAATTCGGTTGAACTTGGGCTGAACCTGTATCTTGGCAGCATCTGCTGTCTATGACTTTCACCTTCAAACAGTGAAACGACCAGTTACTTGAGCCCTAGATCAGTGGGTTCTAATTAGTTGAGGCTCTAGCATATAAAAATGGCTGTTTATTTAAGGCAGGTAATATTAGACAGAGTTAGGAGCTCTGAGGGGAAGGGGAATAAAAGCTGTGAATATGGAAGATATAATATACTTCAGCTGTCTGATCACAGCCCTTACCTCTACTAGAAAGAGGGTGCTGTAGTAAATTTCTAGAGCTGGAGTTGCTTGGTCACAGGAGATGTGCATTATAATTTTGGTGGATCTTACAAAAGTATACTCACTGAGGAAGGAGTAGGAGCCCTGGGTGGCAGTAGGACTTTTGCCACCTGTCCCTATTCCTTTCCCTGGCCCCCACCCTTGGGCAGGAATGTAACCTAGCAAGCTTTCTTTTCATCCTGCCTTTTCCTCAGCTCTTGCTGCCTCCTCCTGCTGCTCCTCCCATTCCCATTGGGCAAATTAAACAAGACTATTGCACAGGGGGTCTAGATGGGCAGACTGTGGAACAGGCCTGAGAGCCTCTTGCAGCCTCAGTTTCCTCATCTCTTAAGAGGGGAATAGTACCTGCCTTCTGGAGAAAGTCAAGAGGAGTCAGTGAAATAGCGCGTGGAGCCTCTATGACATGCCAGCAGGTATCAGGTATTCAGTAAGTGTTGGCTATAGATGGTGATGATGGGCTTTAGTGAGGAGGAGAGAGCAGAGGAGTGGCAGGGATCCCCTTTTACAGTTGCTGAGGCTAGTGTGGCGATGGCCGGATGCGTGCAAGCGGACAAATGTTCAGGCTGCCCTCATCAGAGGTGGTCCTTCCCAGGATCCACTGTTGAGACCCGTGTGGCAGAGTCAAAGACCACGGCAAAGGCTGTGTGCGAGTTGAAAGCCGCTTCCAGGTGTGAAAGTGTCTCAAATTAAAGAAATTGGGAGAGCGGGAGGCTTATATCCAATGGTCGAATGAGCAAAGGAAGAGGAGGAGCTGACAGTTTTGAACTTCCCAACAGACCATTTCAGCTAAGTCCTCTCCATGCATGCTTTTAAAAAGAAGTATTTCACATTCTTATCCAAAGTATAGTTTTTACAAACAAAACAAATGAAGTATTGTTAAAATAAGGATTAATGGTATTGAAGAAAAATAGCTTATATGTGCTTATTTTTGTTTTTGTTTTAAAATTAAAATACAGCAATGTAAATGTTTAGTTTGATGGATTTTTTTTGCTTAATGTGACAGAAAGACTAGTGATTAATCTACTGAATTAAAAACTACTGATGTATTTAGTGAGTGGAATAATCAAGTTCATTAATGTTTTCTGAAGCAGCTGCAAACTTAGTCTAAATGAAAAACTAATATAAATAACTTCTCTGCATTATCAAAAGTGATTTCCATTCCCGAATGCCTGAGTTGAGAGGCATCTGCATGAAGCTTGTATCAAACTGCAAGACAGGGACTCATTCATCTTTGAATTCCTTTGGTTTTGTGCATGCAGAAAATTGAAATGGAATGAATGTTTCCTATAAATGTAGAAAAATAAATTCCCAGTCATTATGCCATTTAGTGATTACAGTTAAATCTAATATGTACTTGCAGCACATATAATTAAAGGCTAATTTCCTTGATTTGCAAAGAGTTTTGACAATTCAGTAAAAAAGGTAAGTATGGGCAAAGGAGATGAATAGGCAATTCAAAGATAGACTTAGACAAATTGCCATTAAACATGAGAAAAAATGATCAACCTCACTTATAATTAATAAATGCACATCAAAGCCATGAGATACTGTTTTTACCTATTAGTTCCACAAAAGTGAGAAAGTTTAATACCCATTGTTGGCAGTTCTGGGGGGAATAGACACACTTCCATGTGCTGTTGGTGAAAGAGGAATTACTGCCCCCCTTTTGGGAGGTAATTTGGCATTACTGATCAAAATGAAAAACTAGGAGGGCATCCTATTCTGGTGAAGGGCACATGCCTGGGTTGTGGGCTCGATCCCCAGTAAGTGGTGTGCCGGAGGCAGCCGATCAGTGATTCTCTCTCATTGATGTTTCTATCTCTCCCTCTTGGAAATCAAGAAAAATATATGAGAGAGAGAGAGGGGGGGGGAGAGGGGGGGAGAGGATAAATTCGTGCTGGGAAATTGCTGATACAGAGGAGTGGAAGATCGTATTTGAACTTGATGTCTCTGTAAGAGGGGATGACTTCCTTTCCCTTAGTACCATTGGAGATAAATCAAGTCATTGGGTTTAGAACTTGTGATTTTTAATTGTCTTTTTCTCCCTTTAGCCTGGAAATGTGCCTGAGACTTAAATTCCCTCAGGAGTGTTGCTTGTTAACAGCTCTAGGCAGGAGCCTGCATCTCATTGTCACTGCCAAGGAAGTGCTAATGTAAAGGACAGGAGAGTGAAGCACTTCCCTTCTCATGTTGCAGTAAAGTGGAATCCCTCTCTTAGGTGTTAATCATGGTCTTTAGTTTTTTCTCTTCAGTGATTTCTTTTTTCAAGTGCAGTTCTTTACTTTTCTTCAGAGAAGATAAAAAGCCATACAGAGGAGAAAGAAGCCTCATTGTAAAACTATTTTCAGTTTTGCAGACTCTTACAGAAATTCTGTATTTTTTTCCTTTTTCTGCTGTTTTTCTCCCCAAGACTCTGTACCTTTAAATAGCCTAAACCTACCTTTTTTTTGACCTTTAATTCCAAAAGTCACTGTTTACTCACCCTTGTGTCATGAAAATACTGTAATGAATGGGTCACATTTGGACACTTGGTAGGGGCAGGCAGTCTGTGTTTCTAGAAGGCAGTCTAGGGTAGATATGAGCACGACCTCTGGAGCCAGACTAAGTTCATCCATTAGCGGTGGACCCGTGGCAAGTGTCTTAACTTCTTGTCCTGTTTCTTCATCTATGAAATAGGAACAATCGTAGTATTTTCCTCACACAGTTCATAGAGGATCAAATGAGTTAATATATATAGAACGTGTTTAGCACAAGTTAAGTACTCATTGTATGTGAACTATTAAGCACTTTTATTGCATTAATTTCCCTCATTTAATTATTAAGAAGTTGTGTTGGGAAGTAGTTCTTTCAAAACCTTTTGTAGATGAGGAAATCAGTTAACTGACTTGTTAAGTGATTTAAATGTTCATTGTTATTATTTTTATTAGAAAGTGGCAGAGCCAGGATTCTTCTTGAAGTCTAACTTCAAAGCAGTTCTCTTTGTTACACCATCCTGTCTCCCTAAAAGGAGTCTATAATAGCCAACCTTGACCATGTGCCAAGCAGCCATTGTGCTAAGTGCTTCCTACTTCCTACATGTGTTCCTCATAACCCGTAAGGCAAGGACTAGTATTCCTATTTTAAAGATAATAAAACTGAGACTCAGGTTATAAAGTACCTTGCCCAGAGTTTTACAAGTGGAAAGAAGGATCATTTGAGCACAGATCTGACTCTAAATTCATGCTCCTAATGGTTTTATTTTATTTTTTTATCCTTTAAAAACTGGATGAGGTATCTTAACAACTTTTTAATGTTTCTTATTTTTAATAAGTAATACATTCACATAGTTGAGAAATTTTAAGAGTCTAAAAAGATTCACTGTAAGCTAATAGATTTTCTAGCTATCTCTTTGCAAGAGGCAGTTAAGATTTATTGTATCATTCCAGAAATATTCTGCGCATATCCATCTGTTGTGCATACTAGGTGTACCAGTTAATAATGCCGATTTTGTAATCAAAGAAAACATGATAATTTCAAGAGAAACATTAAAAGTGCTTTATTCAAAGTAATGTCCATCGCTAGCTACACATTTCCCCCATCTTTCAGGTAATTTGTGGATACCGTCCCAATGGAACTTTTCTTATTTTGACGCAAACCATTCAGAGACCCAATTTTCCGCTTCTTCGTATGTTTTGAAGTACTGCTCAGAAAGTGCGTGTGGCATCAACTGGAACAAGTGGTAATCTGAAGGAACAAGTCTGGTGGGCAGGGTCTGCACTTGGCAAAATAATAAATTAAAACTTCCCACAAATGCTTTTTTGGCACAAAATTTGACATTTTTAAGCGTAAAAATATCTAAGATGGTGCCTTGACTGGTTTGGCTTAGTGGATAGAGCATCGGACTGCAGACTGAAGGGTCCTAGGTTCGGTTCTGGTCAAGGGCATGTACCTTGGTTGCGGGCACATCCCCAGTAGGAGGGGGGGGGGTGCAGGAGGCAGCTGATGGATGTTTCTCTCTCATGGATGTTTGTAACTCTCTATCCCTCTCCCTTCCTCTCTGTAAAAAATCAAAATATATTTTTAAAAAAATATCTATGATAACACCTTTAGAAAATTTGACATATGAAGTTTTGAAACTTGTTGTCAATACAACAAAATAGCATACATATCAAATCGCATATATATCAACATGTGTAACTCCATCTATTGAAAAAATCTGCATTATTAACCGGTACACCTAGTATACAAATAAGACAGAACATTATTTAGATGAATTTTATTTTTTACAGAATCCTCAAAACTAGATGAAACAGGGAAATATTTTTTCTAAAATGAGACTAAATGCTCAGTCAGAGCTGAAATAGCCCTACTATGTGTAGCATATTTTAATTTTGATCAAGATGAAAGTTTGGCAGTTAGGATACTGACCTAATCGATCATTTGGTTATTTGACTTTAGGTGAATTAACCAAGACATGAAAGACTAAAAATAAGTAAGAGGAAGAATGCTCAGGCCGAGCCTAGGAGGTACAGTAGCTACAGTGGTGGTGGTGCTATTTTGCCAGTTTGTGCTTCTGCTGCTTGTACTGGTGAGAAGTCATTGGTGAATTATGAAACTCTCTCTTTCCACAGATTACGCTTCATGTCAGTAGCAATGGACAGCAGCAGTTTTATTCAGTTTGATGTGCCCGAGTACAGCAGCACCGTTCTGAGCCAGCTAAATGAACTCCGCCTACAAGGGAAACTATGTGACATCATTGTCCACATTCAGGGTCAGCCATTCCGAGCCCACAAAGCAGTCCTTGCTGCCAGCTCCCCGTATTTCCGGGACCATTCAGCATTAAGTACCATGAGTGGCTTGTCAATATCGGTGATTAAAAATCCCAATGTGTTTGAACAGTTGCTTTCATTTTGTTACACTGGAAGAATGTCCTTGCAGCTGAAGGATGTTGTCAGTTTTCTGACGGCAGCGAGCTTTCTTCAGATGCAGTGTGTCATCGACAAGTGCACCCAGATCCTAGAGAGCATCCATTCAAAGATCAGTGTTGGCGATGTTGACTCTGTTACCGTTGGTGCTGAAGAGACTCCAGAGAGTCAGAATGGAGTTAAAGACGGCGGCTTCTTTGCCAACCCAGTTGAGATCTCTCCCCCATATTGCTCTCAGGGACGGCAGCCCACCACAAGCAGCGATCTTCGGATGGAGACGACGCCCAGCAAAGCTTTGCGCAGCCGCCTACAGGAGGAAGGGCACTCAGACCGAGGGAGCAGCGGGAGTGTTTCCGAGTACGAGATTCAGATAGAGGGGGACCATGATCAAGGGGACCTGCTGGTGAGGGAGAGCCAGATCACTGAGGTGAAGGTGAAGATGGAGAAGTCCGACCGGCCCAGCTGTTCCGACAGTTCCTCTCTGGGAGACGACGGCTACCACACTGAGATGGTTGATGGGGAACAAGTGGTGGCGGTGAACGTGGGTTCCTATGGTTCTGTGCTCCAACACGCATATTCCTTTTCCCAGGCGGCCTCACAGCCAGCCAGCGTATCAGAAGCTTTTGGAAGTTTGAGTAATTCCAGCCCATCCAGGTCCATGCTGAGCTGTTTCCGAGGAGGACGGGCCCGCCAAAAACGGGCTTTGTCTGTCCACCTGCACAGTGATCTACAGGGCTTGGTGCAGGGTTCAGACGGTGAAGCTGTGATGAATAACCCTGGGTACGAGAGCAGTGCCCGGGAGAGGAGCGCCAGAGGTCACTGGTACCCCTACAACGAGAGGCTCATCTGCATTTACTGTGGAAAGTCCTTCAACCAGAAAGGAAGCCTTGACAGGCATATGCGACTCCATATGGGAATCACCCCCTTTGTGTGCAAGTTCTGCGGGAAGAAGTACACACGAAAGGACCAGCTGGAGTACCACATCCGGGGCCACACTGATGACAAACCATTCCGCTGTGAGATCTGCGGGAAGTGCTTTCCATTCCAAGGTACCCTCAACCAGCACCTGCGGAAAAACCACCCAGGAGTAGCTGAAGTCAGGAGTCGCATCGAGTCCCCTGAGAGAACAGATGTGTATGGGGAACAGAAACTAGAAAATGACCCATCAGCCTCCGAGATGGCCCTAGATTCCCGGATGGAAATTCATACAGTATCCGATGCTCCTGATTAAGATGGTAAAGAAGTGCACCCAAACAAAGCACATTAATCCATGCATATTTGTGATTTGCTTTGTTGTAATCTTTAGTTTTCCCAACCATCTGGAAATCTCTTGGTCTCTTGGCAGTTTTTCTAAGGGTTCTGGAAGGAACACTTCATTGTGTTTATTCTTCGTCCTCCCTTCCCCAAGGAGCTCAAAGCATGAAGGGCATCATATCCAGGGAAAACACAGGCTGACAGTATTCCTCTTTGGCTGAACTCTTAATCCAAAATCTGCCAGTGTTTAGCTATGCCAACTGGTTGACCCTGTATTCTCTGCCAAGAGGCATACTCTCGCTGGGCCATCATGCACTGGCACCAGAGCATCTCCATGGAGAGGGACTAGGATGCCATCAGCCGATATAAATGGGTAACCTTTTCTAATTTAAAATTACTTTTACGAATAGTTAGACAATTTATATATATATATAATAAAGTGATTATTATATATATAGTATATATATATACATTCTCAAATTTGGTTTTATTCTGGTTGAGGTGAATGTAAGAGGAATATATAATTTAATACAATGTGAACAGGGCTTTTGACTCTGTCATCCCTACCTAATATGTTAGGGTTTTGCCCCTTTATTTCCCTTAGAAAAGAATGTTAATAGGTTTTCATATACATTAATTATGGTGTCCAAAAGCAAGCAAAGCAAATCACAGTGTTCATAGCTCTGCTTCCTAACAAATACATAAACCAAATGCCATAAAACCTACTCAACTCTGGTTGGAAACCATTTGGAATTTTTGTTAGTTGTCCAGTGGGTAAGCTGGATGACCCGTGGTGCTGACCCTTTTTACATATTGTAGTGTTTTATTAGCCAACCCCAAAGGAGCCGTGGTTTTCAGTGTTTTTACTGGCCTCCGAATCTACCTTCATTCCGTACTGTAGAAACATACACACCAGGTAACTAAATCGAATCACTCTACCGTGAGTTACTACTCGCACTAAAGGAAAGGGATTTGTAGTTCTGTCTACAATATTTTCCAAGCAGTGTTGTAGGGTTTTATTTTTCTTCTTTCTCTTTTCAAACAGCCAGTTCAGGTGCACAGCAACTTTTTCTACATGCAGTTCCCAGGGAAACTGCACAACTTGGAATTTGTACTTTTGTAAAGATATACTCTATGGGAATTGCAAGCAATATATCTATCTTAGGATTATGTGTGCTAACGAGAGCCTCCGTGGCTCCCCCACTCTCAGTGTTTCCTGCTTAAAGAAACCAACAGTTAACAAGCCCTCTGAGAGCCTCTGTGTGTCACCAAATCTGTGTGTGTCACCATTTATTTTTTTGGTCACGTGGTGCTATCTTTATGTATCTTTTAGGTCAGTATAGTTGTAGAAAATGTGAAATCTAAGGGGAATAGTGAATTTCAGTTTTTTCCCTCTCTTGAGTTTCTAGCTTGAAAAGAGACCTCAAAAACATGTGCTGGCAAACACATTACTGTATGAAAACATACCTGAGTCCTGTTGAATAATATTTTATTAGTGCTTTAGGAACTGTCTTCAGTTCTATATTTTGTCCACCCATGGACTTTACAAGATTGCTTTGGTACTGTAACCTCTGACAGTAATTTGGTGAACAGTTTGGTGGTGGGTTTGTGCTGAAGGTTGGGAGTGGGAGGTCAGCTCTCCATACACTCGGCCTGAGAGCCTTGGCTCTGAAACTCACGAGGTCGTCTCCTTGGGAGAACAGCACAAACCACCTGAGAGAAAAACGAAATGGCAACCTCAGAGGCTAAGAGTTAAAGGAAAACAAAAATAGGTGTTTGCTGGTTTTCCATGCTTTTTTGACTCTTAAAATACCAAGAATGGTGGGGGTGTGGGGATTATTTTTTTGTTTTGTGGGGGTTATTTTGAGAAAAAATGAGTCATTCAGGCCCCCGTGTGCGACAGTCCCAGGGACGGTGGCTGTGTGGCGGCATCTCCTTAGCACACAGGATCTGTGCACATGGGGGCTGCTGCGCTCCACATCAGTGTTACTACGTACAGTTCCGCTCGAGTCCTGCTGCTCCGGGAGCAGCTCTTGCTAAATCGGGTATTGTATGCCTTTTTCCTGTCGAACTGCCTAAGTAAGGGGCCCGTCTCTCCCTGCAGCACTTGCTCAACCCCGTCAAAGCAGCCAGCCACAGGGGGAGGCTGGACCCCAGTGTTTACCCACTTAAATATGTCCTGGGGTTTCAGGTAAATGTTTGTGATTTATGTTTCCTTACATGAATCAGTTTGGTTTTGATTTTTTTTTTTTTTTAAGAATGAAATGCAAAAAAATTGTTTTGTGATACAAAATTAGGTTGGTGGCAAGAAATTCCCAAATCGAGGACATGAGAGGTGAGGCTCAGGGAAGGCACCTCCTTTCACTCAGGCTTGGGGCCTTCTGAGAGGTCCCCAGAGCATTTTGTGATTGATCAGAAAGGCAAGGCAGGAGGGGAAGACACTTTGGGCGGGCACCTCCAATGTCCTAGTTCTCGTCACCGTGTCTGTCTTACTGTTATTTACATGGAGTTCTTTGTATTTGTCAATTTGTTTATCTGGTTTGAGTTTACCAAAGAGTGACTTATCCAAAATTGTCTTTGACAAAAATATACATTGCTTTGATTGTACAGTTCAGGTTCAGACATTGTAATGGGACTGTTAAGAGGCAGAAAATTGATTGAGTTTCCCTCGAGTAATCGTAATTCCACATTTTGCAAGTTCCACTTGCTCCCATTCATGTTGCTAACACTTTACCCTTTCCACTGCTAGCAGTGTTAAGAAAGAATTCTCAAGCCATAACACAGTACTGTAAGGTTCCACAGGGCTTCGAGGGAGGCAGCGCAGAGGCCAGCACGCAGCCGTCGCCTCTGAGCGTGCGCACTGCCGTGCTTCTCAGTGTGCGTGGCGGGTGAAAGATTACTCCATTCAGATCGGGCAGCAGCAATACTTGTGCCTTGTCACATGAGGATGTGCCAGGAGGCTTAACGGGACCACAGAACAGAAACATTCTCTCCCCGAAGTTCACCTCACGTCTCCGCAGACGAAGTACGCTGTGTAACTCCTTTTGGAAAGCAAAGTCCCTATTTCTGTACAGTTTTAGATTAGATGTTTCATTTATAACAGATGCAGAAATCAATTAAGATAAAAGTGATATGTGAAGAAATCTTTTACAGTAAAATATATCCTGAGTTCACCTAGGTCTGTTCATAATTGAGTCTCTTCTTGAGCTACCTTTTCCATACACAGGCAATGTGAAGACAGCGACAGTGTCCTTTCCTATAGAGTTTTACCTGTTATTACAAACTGTGAAAACAAAGACTTTTATACTTGTACTGTTTGTGGTTCTAAACAGTTATTTTCATTCTAATCAGTTCTCTACCCTCTACTTTCTACTAAAGCTGTAAATACATTTAGAAATTATATTTGTAAATATAGTATATGAAGACAAGTTAATTTTTGGTCAATGGGAAAAACCTCCCAGTTGACCCTGCCTTGGCAGGTTTTTTTTTGTGTGTGTGTGTGTTTTTTTTTTAAACAGCAGAGAAAGGATACTGTCGGTTCACTGTTAAGCAGAATATACTGTAGAACTAAATTGATCATTTTCAATCTTCCAGAGCATGAGTAGGTGTCTTTTCTAACGATAGCAGTTCTAACCAAGTCTTTGTTTCCCCTTAGCCCAGACCATAGGCCTGCATATTTTTTTGCCTGTGGTTTTGTTTTTGCTTTTGTTTTTACAGCCTAGGCTCTAGGAAGAATTTACAGGAACACAAAACAAGGGCTGAGGGGGGAAGTCATCTATGTGAATAAGCTTTACTTTAAAGAAATCAGTGTATTTTATTTTAACAACCTTTTCTATTAGTTACTGTGATTTTGTTGTCGTCGTCGTCGTTATTGTTAAATTCTGTAATGGTTTCCTGTGAAGCCTCCACTGAAAGGGACTCAAATATGCAACACCTAAACTCTTTTCCAAGGGCACACGGCCCTTGGATGGTGCTTCTAGACTGGTCAGGGTTATTTATTAAATTTTATATATGAAAGTATTGGGGAACTATGTAAATTCTTTATATGAAACTATCTAGTTCATAAATCATAGATTTCATATTACTCAGTGCAACTGAACTAAGAGTTCAGAGGAGTCATTCACATTGTTCCAAATTTGTAATGGTTGTCACACGCCACATACGTCTTTTCAGTAAGTGCCAGGGTGTTTCCACTGTTTCTGCCCAGTGCTTGACCTCTTGGCCCGGAAGAGAACCTGTGTTCTCTGGGTCTGCACAGACAGGGCTATTGTAGTTCTTGATCAAGTCCTGGAGTGAGCCTTGCAGCAGATTCAGTACATGGACCTTTTGCTGCCCCTCAGTGACAAGTATGCTGTGAATTCAACCATTGGACTTGCTGTGCCCAAGCCTTTGGTTGCTGCCCTGACTATAGTAAAAGGTAAACTTACCTAGTTTCTTTGAGAATGACCATTTTCCTAATGTGAAAACCATCTATCTCTCTCACCACTTTTATTAGTAGGGCTAACTTTTTTTCCGTTATAAATGGTTGAGCAATTTGAATGACTTAACAGTGTCATTATCTTGCAATATAAACTGGTAACCTCACAACTCCACACTTCATCACCACATGAAGTAAATGAAGCTAGCTAAGCGGATGCTGTATCAACTAGTAACTTGCCATTAAGGATTATTTTATAGCATGAATTTAAGACTTATTTATTCAAATGATATTTTACTCTTGTATTCATTTTGTTTCAGATTTGTGACATGAATATTTCAGTGCTGCTTAATTTTGTTCTGAATTCTTGTTTCTTGCTTGTAAATGGCTTTTTTATGGTATAAATAAAGTCCATGGAAATTGCTGTTTGTAAATAAAAATGCTGCTAGAGCAAACGTGCTGTGGTCTCCCTCTGTGTCTGCCCCTCTTCACTAACAAACATCCGGAATGTCATAGTTTCTGTAACCACCGTTTTCGAAAGGTTAGGATTTCATAAACGCCCTTGTGCCACTGCGGTGCTGGGAAGAGGAGAAGGAAGCTGGTCTGTTTCTGACCTTTCTTTTGTGTGGCGAAGACTGGGTTTTCAGGGGCCCGGTGTGTCCCCAGGCGAATCCCTGTGAATCGTCTCCCCACTGGCTGGCACAAGTACCCTTTGGCTCCTTTGAATGTGTCTTGTTCTCCTGCCAGAGGGCTTGGAACTGCACGTGCCATCTCTAACTTCTCCCTCAGCCTGTAACTCCTCTTCAGTTCTCAGCTCAGCGAGGGTTCCCTTCCCACAGCAGCCCTTCCAGGTCAGGCCCCTTTAACAGAGACTTTTATTGAGCTGGGTACCTGTCCTTCAGAACACTTACTTCAATTGGTAATTGTATATTGACTAGTGAGATTATTCAATTAACTAGAGGCCCGGTGCACAAAAACTGTACATGGGGTGGGGGCTGGGGGGCAGTCCCTCAGCAGGCCTTCTCACAGTTGGACATCCTTAGCGCTGCTGCAGAGGCAGGAGAGGCTCCTGCCACCACCGCTGTGCTTGCCCTGTGGGAGCGCACTGACCACCAGGGGGCAGCTTTTGCATTGAGCGTCTGCTCCCTGGTGGTCAGTGCGTGTCATAGTGACAGTCATTCTGCCATTGGGTCAATTGCATATTAGCCTTTTATTATATAGGACTAGAGGCCCGGTGCATGAAAATTTGTGCATGGGGGGTCCCTCAGCCCAACCTGCCCCCTTTCACAGTCCGGGAGCTCTCAGGGGATGTCTTACTGACAGCTTAGGCCCGCTCTCCCCGGGGAGTGGGCCTAAGCCGAAGTCTGGCCTCCCTCTGTGGTAGGCGACCAGGCCCATCACCCCATTGCTGCCTGAGCCCTAGGCCTCGCAGCCACCGGGGCTCACAGCTGCCTGAGCCCACGGCTGCCTGATCCCCAAGCCTTGCAGCCGCTGTGACTTTGGATGGACATCGGAAGATGTCCACTCTAATTAGCATATTACCCTTTTATTAGTATAGATGTTTCTCCTAGCCTGTAAGTTCCATGACAAAAAGGACCCTGGACTGTTTCCCCCACCTGTATATCCTTAGTACAGGATCTGTCACCACAGCAGGTACACATGAAGGACTGAATGAATGAGCAAATGCATGTGTTCTGGGAGGGTTGAGCAGGACTGTTGCCTGGGAAGAGGGTGGAGATCAAACCTGGCTTCTACACTGCTAGAGCCAGCTTGCTCCTTGGTGTAAAACCAGGTCTCTTCCTTCTCACTAGGGCTTCTATATAGGTGAGTGGGCAGTGAGCTGGTGCGCAGTGCAAAGGTCCTGTAGGAACCAGCTTCACTTGCCAGCTGGGGGCCTGGGGACTCTGAGGTACTCAAGGGTATGATGGAGAAAGTGCACTGACTTGCCAGTCTGGAGACCTGGTTTCCAGCCACCGGAAGCAGACACACTGAGTCAAACCTGATGTGCAGATGAGCAGATGTATTGCTGGCGAAGGCCCTTGGCAGTAGCTGGCTCTTTCCATTGGTCCTGAAGTCATGGTCTGTCTTCATTTTTGTTTCTTCCAATTACAATACATACAACTGGCCAAGCCCGCCTGGCTTTAGGGATGTTTATGGTATCCTTTATAATGTTAAAGGACCATCACCAATCCCTTTTTGCTTGCTGGTCTTCACCTCTGTTTCCTGGGCCATTTCCTCAAGCCTCAATGACAAACATCTCACATGATGTTTTCTTTTTGTTTTTCACAACAGGACTAACTTGCATACCTCTTGTCAGCAAATAGGGCTCAATTTTCTCAGAACACAGGTGTTAAAAAGAGGCCACCTCCAAGGAAACAAATGTGGGACATTACAACCTGGGGGAGTGCCTTGGAGCCCTCTCTGGGTGATTCCTGTGCGAAGCTGGGCTAGAGGTATAATGCAGTCTCCCCCGGGTAACCTGCCTGGGACAGCAGGGCCAGAACTGCCTCCCTTTCCTCTCCAACTCAGACAGCAATTAGGTCCCTGCCCTCATCTTCGAAAGAGGTTGCTTACTAGGACTTCTGCTCCTGCCTCTGCCCTAATGGAGCTTGGCTCTGATCAGTCTGGCTGGTCCTCTAGGGGAGAGCGACATTCCCTTTAGAGGCGGCCAGCTCGGTGTTGCTGGTGGTTGTGCTGTCTCCTCCAACTACGTAGACAAGCCCACCCCAAGCGTTGCTGGGAGACAGTGAGGTCCTGGCACTCGACACATTTCTTCATCCCTTTTGGCCTGGGCCTTGGCACTCTGATCAGCCCTTGCGCCGCAAGATCTGCCCCTGTCGTACTCACTGGGCCCCTCTAGTGGCCGTGAGTGGCCCAAGCCTCTGAGCTAGAATGGATTGCAAGTTTGTACCACCTTCGGGTGCCATGTGAGTGTGTGTGTGTGTTCTCTAAAATGTGCAAATTGGAGGATAAATCATTCTGAATTGTTCTCCCTTTCCCACCGTGCTTAACATGGGAGGGAAGACCCTTCCACTCTCGTAGGAGTGGGAAGGGACCACCCAGGCTCTCTACTCCCTGCCTCCCAATGCAGGGACTGCTGCAGTAGTCCATGGAAGTAATCTCCAGTTTCTACCTGCTTGTGGAAACTGGCTGCCTCCCAAGGGACTGCATAGTTGACAGCTATCCATGCTAGAAAGTCCCTCCTCCTCTGAGCACAAAAGCCACCTGCCTGGAGTTAGGCTTGTGGTTCTTGGTTCTTCTCCACAGGACCCCAGCACACTGCAAACAGGCAATGACAGCAGCCCCGGCTCCCAGGCCTCTCTTGGGCTTTTCTAGACTTATGTGACTCTGGGCTATTTTTCCCATCCGCTGGGCCATGAGGACATCTGTCTGCCCACCTCCCTCTACTACGAGGTTTTCACAAACATTATTATGAGACATGTTTCTGACAGAATTTTGTTGGAATTGAGGTGGTGGAATCCATAACTTGGAAGAACACTTCTTTGGCAAACAAATTACTTTTGTGGGACTGTTATTTTAAGTAGCCTGTCTCTGCTAGACGTTCTAGTCATCGCACATCGGGCTCCCTGGAGCTGTTTTCAGGTTTTCTGTTGTTTTTTTTTTTAACCCCTCAGCTCCTTCCCTTTCTCCCCTCACATCTCCAAATATTAGTGAGACTCGAAAGGGGCCTTGAATGTGGGAGCTCTGGGCCCTGAGAATGGACCCTGGCATCTGAATTTCCTGAGGCCTCACACCGTTCCCTCCATGAGCATCTCTCCCTGGATGGTCCATTCTCTCCAGGGCACTCGGGCTTTCCTAGCCTCCCAGCACTGGTGCTAACTCAGCTGGGCAAAGAGGTTCTTGTCTTGTATGTATCATCTTTGCAGAGGGGCCATTTGCTGGCTTCTTATCACTTCCTCTCTATCCTTTCAACACAACTGCCTCCCCACACTCTGGTCTCACTCACCCCTTCTTGCCTGCTGGACCCTGGCTAGGCTTCTGGTGAAATGGAAATGCTGTTAGGTGTTCCATAACGAAACTACTCATTGCCTTCTTTCCCTCCACTGCATGGTCCTCCTATCCCCAGAATGGGCCTCCAGGGACCTCCTGCCCGCACGTTGTGTTGTATGGCCCCACTTCCAACTGAGTTCAGATACGGCTGCAGGCACTGTGAGTGTTAGAGTTTTTCACCCTGAAGGTAGACCCAGCCCTTTCTGTCCACAATTTTGTGGAAATATTTTCCTCATGAAGTATCAGGTGCTGATGTACCACATTCCCAGCAGAGGTCAAACAAACTCTCATACTGTAAACAAGTGTCCTTTTAGCAACCTATTGAATGCCACATTTTTTGCATTTTTGAGGTTTTTTTTGTTGGTGATTTCTCTGACCCGCAGGCTCAGTGCTGAAGTGCTGTCTAGTGATCCCAAGCAAAGGAAGGCTGTGAGGGGCCTTACAGAGGAAACGCATGTGTTAGATAAACTTGGTTCTGGCATGAGTTAGAGAGCTGTTGGTCGTGAGTTCAATGTTAAGGAATTAACAATATATATTAAGGTGTCTTTAAACAGAAGCACACATAAAACAAGGTTATGTTTTGATTGATTCCCAGCAATGTTGTGCAGAGCCTCACAGGAACCGTACCCTGTATGTTCCCTAGGAACAATGGTTTAATTAGTGTTCACAATGACTTGATAGGGCATAACTACTGCAAGTAACAAGAGTCGACTGTACTTTTCAGTGGTGGACTTTAACTAGTAACCTTTGTAGCAAGGAATGCTGGGAAATGGAGTTCTCCTAAGCATCCAGACTTTGTGATGATACATGGGAGAACACAGGAGGGGGAAGCAGATGCCACACAGAATTCAACATAGGGAAATAAATGGTCAGGGAGCTGAAGAGGGTTGAGAGAACCACCAGACTGTGATGCAAACCTGACTCTAAGTGAAGAAGGGAGGGGAAGGCAGTGTGTGGAAATCGTCAGAGGAGTCCCATTATCACCCAGGGACCTGTCCGCCTTAGAGTTCCCGCCATGTCTGGCATTGGGTGCAGCCCATGTGTAGTGTTGCCTCAGTGCAAATGCGTTACAGGTTTCAGAGATCAGTAGCTGGGCCCTTGGTCAAGTGAGCTCCAATAGTTGGAGGTCTGCGAGGTGCATTCTCATGGCCACGAGAGGGCTAACTCACTTTCTCAGGAGACCTTACATGGTAGGCACTCGGATGATTACATCCGTATAACTGAGAAAACTGAGGTTTAGAGAGGTTTGGACCCTTGTGTAAGGCCACCTGGCTGGGAAGTGGTGAAGCCAACATTATTTCCAGGAACTGAGCACATTGAAAATTTCACTCTCAAATCCTGCTCTTCCAGTCTCCCCCAGCTGCCCATGTTGATGGGTTGCCTTGGGGGCACCTCACTATTGCCACTGTATCTGTATACCAGTGATGGTGTTCTTTTGTATATC